CAATAGATCGTTATAATTAATCTTTCTGAGAATTTTTTCTTTTTCATATTAATTAGTGAGATATTTTTTTTTTCTAGAGGATGTAATTTTTTTTAATGCTACAATGGAATTTTTTAGGATAAAAAAAATTTTTTTTTTGTAACAATGTAATAATAAACTACTTATACAAAATTGTTTTTGTAATGAATTTGTAAATTTCACAGTACTGCAACATTTTGTTCGTATGATAAATAAAATTTGCATTTAATAATAATATTTCATATACTGTATAACACTTGCACACAATTTATTGTTATTTGTATAAGCATATAGATTATGTAATTTACTACATTTATTTCCTACTAATACCACCATAATATTAGTAGAAACTAGACCTATTCACATTACTGCATGGCAAATAAAATATAAGTGTGTTATTATTACCTACTCTCTTGCTTGATGGGCAAGTATCATCGCCGACGCAACGCGACGGGTTACGCCTAGTTTATATAAATATTACGTATCCGTTAAGTAACAACATGCCATGCCCTACACATAGAATTAAGTAAGAATCCGCATTATTTCGTTGCACAATAACAGTACACAGATATTATCACTTGACATGTGAAGTTACGTATTACGTAAAAAAAATCTAACTCTTTATTTTACTATATATAAAAATAGAATGTTCGTGTAAAATTTTGACAAAAAAATAAAATCCCTATTTAAAGAAAAATTTCTTAAACGGTTTACAGCGAAATTTGTCTGCTAATTTCAAAAAATAAAAAGAGGATATTATCACATTAAATAGTTTTCTACATGTTATTTCGGTGTTTGATTTTTTTCAGTTACAGTTTAAGGGATAATTAATTTAAGATTGTCGCGAAATTGATTTAATCTGGCAAGCATAAACTTTCCGTTTTTCCATTTTCTTCATTTTCTTCGGGAGGAATAGTTGATACATCCTTGTTTTCAGGGTTAATAAGATTTAGTTCTAAAATTACTTCGTTGATATTCGGTCTATTATCTGGTTCGTGTTGCCAACATTCTGATAAAATAAAGTAAAAATAGATTGTAAAAAAATATTATTGCAGAAAAGAATCATAATTAATATCTTATACATACTTTCATAAAGTACGACAAATTTATCATTTGTGTCTTTAATAGGTCCTTCTCTAGCACTTTTACTAATGATATTAATGAGAGAACAGTCGTGTTTCTGACTTTTTTCCTCAAAACCAAAAGGCGATTTTCGACTTGTTAATTCCCAGAATAATACTCCCAAACTGTATATATCAGACTTCTCAGTTAAAACACATGGTTTTTTTTGGATAAGCATTTCAAGCATTTTAGAATCCACGTAAGGTATTACACCCCATACTTCAGTATTATAATTTGATCCTTTTATACATGAACGTCCAAAATCTGCTAATTTTATTGATTCTTTGTGTATTAAGATATTGTTGGAGTGCTAAAAAAAGATATGTTAATTAGTGGATTAGTTTCATTATAGTTTAAAAACAACAGGAATTTACTTACGAGATCCCCGTGTATGATTCCCACATCATCATGTAACCATGAAATCGCACTTGCAATTTCCTTAGCAAACTTTAATTGACTTTCCCATTCAAAACTTATAGAATCGTTTCTTAAATATTTCCCCAATGTTCCACCTTCTGCGTATTCAAGGACAAGCGAGTAATTTTCATCTAAAGAATATTAAAACGTGTCAAAAAATCATTTTCAATTTATTGCATAATCGTTATCGTTATTTACCTTGAAATTTCGTAAGTCCGTAGAATTGAATTATATTCGGATGAGAATTAACCTTTTTATTTAAATAAATCTAGAAATAAAAAATAGTAAATATTGATACAAGCTTTATCGTAATATATCAATAACATACCTCATTAACGATGGAATCTTTGCTAGAATCTCCGATGAATTTTTTAATTGCGAACTTTGATGCACCTTTCCAACGTGCACTATAAACCAAGGTGGATGGCGCAGAAGCAATCTTATCAAGATCCCTAAAGCCTTGATGATCATAATAATAAATTGTCTGTGATACCTCTCCATCCAGTAATATCTTTAGCGTATTTTTAGTTTTGCCCTCTTCGAGATGCAACTGTTACAATATAATGAATTCGAATTACCATATTAAGCTAAAATATTATTTTGCATTATTTGATCTGCATTATTATTTGCATTATTATTTGCATTATCGCTGTGACAAAACGTTTTGCTGCGCCGTAAAAAAAAAACCATTTAAATATCGGGTTTTTTCGCTCTTTTTTCCCACTCGTTTTCTTGTGTGGCGCAGTTTTTGAGTCAACTAAACTATACAGTTGTTTTTAACAACTAAATAAAGCAAGATATGAGTTAAAAAAACAAGAAAATAAAAGAAATGGAAAAATAAAATATTGAAATAATAGCAAAACTTCTTTCTTACTTTGTAAATTGTTGCAGATGATTGTCGCTGTTTACTTATTTAAAATTGCTTCTTTGTTTTAAGAAACAGAGCTAAAGCAATACTGTATTAAGCGACCAAAAAAGTGTCTGAGGGTGATTTTTTAGTAACTCCAGTAACTCTGAGTACGATAAAAAGAAATTTTCAGTCTATTGAACGAAATAATTGGTTTAAGTTGTGAAAAATATCATTTCTGATATTTTTTGGGGAAGACTAGGGTATTGGAATGATGATCATATTTTGTGTGACAATTAAAACGTGCCCGTTATAATAGAGATTATTGGTCCTTTATATACGCATAGAATAGATGACATAACTATATATAAAAAAGATTATCTGGGCTTATTCCTATTTTATATTATTTTGGATACAAATGGTAGTGTTTTGATCCGTTTATCCAGATTATCCGGAAATCCGGATAAACCGAAATCCGGATAAGATTATGTATAAAAAAATTTTTTCATCGATTGATTCTTAACAAATATATTTTATTAATTTCAAATAAAATAAAATTTTAATTTCGGCCGGCACTATGAATTTTGCCTGAATTATGCCAATTTTTAAAATTTGAGAAATATAAAATTTTGACAATAAGTACATTATTATAAATATTAAAAACATGATAAATTGATAATGAAAGTTTAGGCATAAAACCAACTAGTTTTATATACTATTTTGTTCAACCTGTCAATTAAAAAAATTTTTTTTAGATCGACAATAATTTGGGCTAAACGTATAAATAGTAGCAAAATTACAAAAATCCCAGCTGGGAATACTGCTAGGAATGCTAATCGTTACGTTACGTTACGTTTAGTGTTGCTGTCCAAACTTCACTAGTTTCCGAAACTGCAAAACTAAAACTAGAAAAATTGGTTCAGAAAAATTTTACATTTATGCAATAACCGAATCTGTAATTCCCGCCCTGAATAACAAATATATTATTCCCGTGATCATAAATGTTTATTTCTAAAAAGGAAATGGTCGATATAATCTTTATATTCTTTTATTTGCAATTTGTTATACAACCCCATAAAAAATTTATTCCGTGTTTTTTTATATTTCCGTAACTGTATCATATTTATGGAGTTTTACAGAAATTACAAATAAATTTTTTTACAGGGCAAATGAGCCTTCCTTCCGTATTTCTACACATTACTGTTTAAGGGAAATCCTAATATCAAAATTACACGCAGTTGGCATATGTTTTTGTCGACAAAAGCTGTGTATATAATTCACATTCCTGCCTGCCTACAGTTGTAGTAAGATTAGATGGGACAGAAGATACCGAGTCTATTTACGTTTTTACTAATGACAATAAGTTTATGTATCGTCTTAGATGACACAACTGAGTATTGGTTATAATTAGTGTCAATAAATGTCAAAGAGTATTATTTTCGTAAGTTTATCTTATTCAACAAGATAGTTTCCCGTTAATAATCTTGGCAAAAAAAAAAGATTACATATTATTTTAGTACTAATAGTAATTATTATGTAATGCTTTGTACCCTTCGAGTAGAGTATCAAAAAAATTTCATCGTCGTAACAATTTGAACTCAAAGGGTGAAAGTGACACCGAAAAGAACAAACAATTAGTAATACATATGGAGACTACTTTGAATAAAATCTCCGACGGAGAAATTTTTTACCTCACAGAATGGTCATACATGTCATTAATTTTATGATAACGGCAACTTATTGATAGTTTGATTTTTTTGATTGCAATCTATACTTGTTTCTAATGACTTTGAAAGAATGTATCAAAAATAGAGGTTTTAAATTTTGTCTGAAAAATTATTTATCTTATATTTATTTTTTGATTAATATATAATTCATAAATAATAATTATAATTTTCTTTTTGAAATGTGAAGAAAATTTATATTTTTCCTTTTTAAAAATGAGAATCTAAAGATGGAGGTAAGAAAAAAAATGGATTATACATATGTTCAACAATATATTGTTAATTTGATTGATATTACTTTCATAATAATAATTTTATTTACTATATTAATAATAATTATTTATTTTTGATACGATCATAAATAACTTTTTTGAACTTTTTATACAATAACTCTTAAAAAAGTAAATTATATGTTATTATTAAGAATTTTATTCTACTAATAAAAAGATCGAAGAAAAGAGATTAATACAATTACAGGTGTGATATTCATACATGATTAAAAACAGGTTTCGCAAAAAAAGTAAATAACTTATTATATTAACTGTTAAAATAACGTATTCCGGCTCTTTGATACAACAAGATATGGATGAATTACATGCTGGGCACGGATTTCTCTTGTGAGAACTGGAAGTGAGACTAGATTTTTTACCTTTAAGTATTTTAAATATCCGTATGCAGAAACAATATACAAAAAGTTTAAATCTATTTTTTGATAGAATGACTTTTTGCTATGAATATATAATGTTTCATAATCATAATGATATTTTATATTTTTATATACCAAATTTAGACTTGACAGAGTCAACAATGGAAGAAGTCTGGGAAATAAAAGAAGATATCAAAAATAGGTAAATTTTATCAAAAAAGCCAGTGATATTTCGTTAAATATACACTTGTGTTGATATATTAATGGTATTTTGTACTTATTTTTAATAAAAATTAACTGTAGAACTATTTTCTGGCTGTGTTGCATGATCGATATCAATCTTTTAACTTACTATGATGGTAACCCCTACAAACCCATCAGGAAGCCACATCAGTGGCACAGATATTACTATTTTTATCATTGTGTAACATTTATCATGCGCGTTTTTAATGAAAGAAACGAGAACAGTGGCTTTGGATAGGGATGGCAACGGTCGGTCATGGTCGGTCATCGGTCGGTCATAACCGGTCAAGAACCTTTGACCGACCGACCGACCGTTTGACCGACCGGTCTGACCGACCGGTTAACCGACCGTTTGACCAACTGGTTAACCAATCCTGAAAACGTTTGCGAAACGTAATTTAATTGAAATACTTAATAAAAAACGTTTTCGCAACGTTTTCTATTAAAATAATTAAAAAAACGTTTGTGAAACATTTTTTCTATTTCGCAAACGTTTTCAGGATCGGTNATCATAACAATATCCAAGTTGATATCTGTCTCTTATACACATCTAGATGTGTATAAGAGACAGCGGTTAACCGGTCGGTCAGACCGGTAGGTCAAACGGTCGGTCAGAGGTCTTTGACCGACCGATATCGGTCACGGTCATGACCGGTCATAACCGGTTAATGACCGTGACCGTTGCCATCCCTAGCTTTGGACAAAATTTATAGGATAATTTTTTTTTAGAATATAAATTCTTATCAGCAAATTATTATTACATATCATTTTATAATAAATGTTAATAAAAGTAAACAAATTTTTATTCGGCGAAGTCACATGGTTACACACATAGATCTTTACCGCGATCAATTAAGGAAACATTTTTTATGGCTGCCAATATTAGATCAATAGATTAAAACATTAAATAGTGCAGCTGATTACGAAGGAAAACGGGAAAGTTGCAGAATCAGATGATTTGAATGGTAAACAAATAATGTAATTAACCATTCATTAAACCAAACAAAATTTTGGAAAAGTAGAGTAGTACCCAGAAATATATATATAGGGGTCTGGTGATGAAAAAAATTTTTTCAGGGCCAGAATTATGATAATGCCAGTCAGTTACTATAATAGGGCATGGCTAAAGCGGAGCTAATGTGGCTCAAAAAATTTTCCAGATTCCCCCGATGTGGCACATGCGGTAAAATATTTACCCGTGGTGTCCAGCCGGCACAACGTTGAGCTGTGGCTGAGCTTGGGAGGTCCTTAGTGGGTGTGGCGAGTGCTGGAACAAGTCTCACTGTCACGAAGGACCAGCTCTGCCACGCCACAGCAACACTGTTGTGACGAGCTGGGCCACTGTAGGTAAATATTTTCCCGCTATGTGCCATCAGGAGAATCCAGTACAAAATTTTTTGAGCCACTGCAGCCCTGCCCCGCTTTAGCCGTGCCCTATAATAGGAAATAAAATTCCAACTGGCATTATCGAAAATTATCTAAAAAAGGAAATATTTTCATGATTTTTTTAGTTCAAAATACGCAAACTCAAACCTGACCCTTTTATATATATTTCTGGGTCCTAGTAGAGTTAGGATTCCTAAGATGGAAAAGGTATAAAGATAACATAGTCAGCATAGAAATCCGGCTAGCATCGATACATTTTGTCAAATGGAAATATTAATTTTATTTTTCTGTGTTCTGATATTTTTTTTTGATTTTATAACTACTTGTATCACTCATTTGTATATAGAATAGTTAGTAACAGCCATATGTAGTCCATAGTATAGTTTAGTAAGTAGGTATAATAGGTGTCTACTTCCATCTCAGACGGGTTAGTAGATAGAATAACCTAAGTGATATTAGTTAGTGTTATGTCAATTGTACTTTTTGTTTTTTATATGTAATTTATTCCTAAATTCATTATAATAAAAAAATGCGCGTTATTAACAAAAAAAAAGTAAATAAAATTTTTTGTCTTTATTGACATTGAAAAGCAGTAAAATAGTGGTGAAATTTCTATTTATTAAATTGTCACTTTGGTTATTATACCATTAAATGGATTAATATAACTCCTTTTCTGTAATTTCACAACTTTCATAAAAAAATTCAAATTTATTTTGTTATAATAATAACTAATAAAAGAATGCTTATGATTTATTACATAAGTTCCAATTCATTCTTCATAATAATATCCAAGTTCTAAATGGTCTTTTTCAGCCATTACATGTATAATTCAAATGCTATTTCTTTTTATAACAATTTCCAAGGTTAAATTGTGCTGCTTTATCACCACTTTCTGCCGCTTTATTATGCCAATAAATGGCTTTGACTAAATCCTTTTCTATCCCTTCACCACATTGGTATAAATATCCAAGGTTATTTTGTGCAGTAATATAACCTTTTTCTGCTGCTGATTTATACAATTCAAATGCTTTTGATTTGTTAACTTCAGTTCCAATTCCTAATTCATAACAATATCCAAGTCGACATTGTGCAGCTGAAATATTTTTTTCTGCAACTATTTTATATAATTCAAATGCTTTTGTTTTGTTGACTTCAGTTCCAATTCCTTTTTCATAACAACATCCAAGGTTAAATTGCGCTGCTTCATTACCACTTTCTGCTGCTTTATAATACCAATAAATGGCTTTATTTAAATCCATTTCTGTACCTTTACCATATTGATATGAATATCCAAGATGGTTTTGTGCATTTATATGCCCTTTTTCTGCTGCTGATTTATATAATCCAAATGCTTTTGTTTTGTTAACTCCAGTTCCAATTCCTTTATCATAACAATATCCAAGTTGATATTGTGCAGTCATATGCCCTTTTTCTGCTGCAATTTTATATAACTCAAATGCTTTTGTTTTGTTAAATTCAGTTCCAATTCCATTATCATAACAATACCCAAGTTGATATTGTGCAGTCATACGCCCTTTTTCTGCTGCTACTTTATATAATTCAAATGCTTTTGTTTTGTTAACTTCAGTTCCAATTCCTTCTTCATAACAATTTCCAAGGTTAAATTGTGCTACTTCATTACCACTTTCTGCTGCTTTATTATACCAATAAATGGCTTTGTCTAAATCCTTTTCTATCCCTTTACCATATTGATATGAATATCCAAGATCATTTTGTGCAGTAATATGCCCTTTTTCTGCTGCTAATTTATATAATTCAAATGCTTTTATTTTGTTAACTTCAGTTCCAAATCCTTTATTATAACAATATCCAAGATTATATTGTGCATTTAAATAACCTTGATCTGCAGCTATTTTATATAATTCAAATGCTTTTGATTTATTAACTTCAGTTCCAATTCCTTCATCATAACAATATCCAAGTTGATATTGTGCATCCAAATGGCCTTTTTCTGCTGCTATTTTATATAATTCAAATGCTTTTGCTTTATTAGTTTCAGTTCCAGTTCCAAAATAATAACAACATCCAAAATAATATTGTGCATTAGTTTGTCCTTCTTCTGCTGCTGATTTATAAAATTCAAATGCTTTTGTTTTATTAACTTCAGTTCCAATTCCATTATCATAATAATATCCAAGATTGTATTGTGCATCAATATGGCCTTTTTCTGCTGCAGATTTATATAATTCAAATGCTTTTGTTTTATTAACTTCAGTCCCAATTCCTTTTTCATAGCAATGCCCAAGATTATATTGTGCATTAATTTGTCCTTTTTCTACTGCTTTGTTATACCAGTAAATAGCTTTATCTAAATTCTTTTCTGTACCTTTACCATATTGATATAAATATCCAAAATTGTTTTGTGCAGTAATATGTCCTTTTTCTGCTGCTAATTTATATAATTCAAATGCTCTTGATTTATTAACTTCAGTTCCAATTCCTTTATCATAACAATATCCAAGGTTAAATTGTGCTGCTTCATTACCACTTTCTACTGCTTTGTTATACCAATAAATAGCTTTGTCTAAATCCTTTTCTATACCTTCACTATATTGATACAAATATCCAAGATTGTTTTGTGCTACTTCATTACCACTTTCTGCTGCTTTACTATACCAATAAATTGCTTTGTCCAAATCCATTTCTGTTCCTTTACCATGATGATATGAATATCCAAGATTATTTTGTGCCGTAATATGCCCCTTTTCTGCTGCTAATTTATATAATTCAAATGCTTTTGTTTTATTAACTTCAGTTCCAATTCCTTTATCATAACAATATCCAAGATTAAACTGTGCTACCTTATTTCCATTTTCCGCTGCTTTGTTATACCAATAAATAGCTTTGTCTGAATCCTTTTCTGTACCTTCACCATATTGATATGAATATCCAAGATTGTTTTGTGCAGTTATATGTCCTTTTTCTGCTGCTAATTTATATAATTCAAATGCTTTTGATTTATTAACTTCAGTTCCAATTCCTTTTTCATAACAACATCCAAGGTTAAATTGTGCTGCTTCATTACCACTTTCTGCTGCCTTTCTATACCAGAAAATAGCTTTATCTAAATCTTTTTCTATCTCTTCACCACATTTATATAAATTTCCAAGACTATATTGTGCATTAATTTGTCCTTTTTCTGCTGCTTTATTATACCAGTAAATAGCTTTGTCTAAATCCTTTTCTGTACCTTCACCATATTGATATAAATATCCAAGATTATTTTGTGCTATTTCATTACCACTTTCTGCTACTTTGCTATACCAATAAAAGGCTTTATTTAAATCAATTTCTGTTCCTTTACCATATTGATATAAATGTCCAAGATTATTTTGTGCATTTAAATGTCCTTTTTCTGCTGCTGATTTATATAATTCAAATGCTTTTGATTTGTTGACTACAGTTCCAATTCCTTCTTTATAACAATATCCAAGATTGATTTGTGCGGTAATATGTCCTTTTTCTGCTGCTAATTTATATAATTTAAATGCTTTTGATTTATTAACTTCAGTTCCAATTCCTTTTTCATAACATTGCCCAAGATTATATTGTGCATTAATTTGTCCTTTTTCTACTGCTTTATTATACCAGTAAATAGCTTTGTCTAAATTCTTTTCTGTACCTTTACCATATTGATATGAATGTCCTAAATTGTTTTGTGCAGTAATATGTCCTTTTTCCGCAGCTAATTTATATAATTTAAATGCTTTTGATTTATTAACTTCAATTCCAATTCCTTTATCATAACAATATCCAAGATTATATTGTGCAGTAATGTGTCCTTTATCTGCAGCTTTGTTATACCAGTAAATAGCTTTGTTTAAATCCTTTTCTGTACCTTCACTATATTGATATGAATATCCAAGATTGTCTTGCGCGGCAATATGTCCTTTTTCTGCTGCTAATTTATATAATTCAAATGCTTTTGATTTATTAACTTCAGTTCCAATTCCATTATCATAACAATATCCAAGATTGATTTGCGCAGAAATATGCCCTTTATTTGCTGTTAATTTATATAATTCAAATGCTTTTGTTTCATTAACTTCAGTTCCAATTCCTTTTTCATAGCAATATCCAAGTTTAAATTGTGCAGCTAAATATCCTTGTTCAGCTGATTTTTGATATAATTTAAAAGCTTTTCTATTATTTTTTTTCACACCTTTACCTTTTCTATAGCAATCACCTAAATCACATTGCGCAATTTTATGTCCATTTTCTGCTGCTTTTTGAAAATAATAAATTGCTTTTTTATAATTTTGTTTTGTTCCAGTACCATTATAATTATTAATTCCAATTCGTCTTAATCCTTCAAAATATATTGTTTTATGAATTTTTATTTCTGCATTTTTATTTTGTCCAAGAATGCATTTGGCGATAATATTTCCATTATTTGCTGCTTTCTCATACCAATTAAAAGCTTGTTCTCTATTAATTTCTATTCCAACTCCATAAAAATAACAATTTCCAAATTGATATTGAGCATCTGTGATTTCTTTCTCTACTAATATTTGATAATATTCAAATGCTTTAGATTCATTTTTTTTAATTCCTTTTCCTAATCTATAGCAATTTGCTAGATAAAGTTTTGCAGTTATATTTCCATTATCAGCTGCTTTTTGATACCATTCAATAAATTTATTTTCATTATTCTTAGTTCCAATATTAAATTCATAGCAATATCCTAAATAAAATTGTCCAACAATACTTTTATTTTCTGCACCTTTTTGATACCAATTGAATGCCAGATTTTTATTTTCTTCAATTCCATATCCATCATTATAACATTTAGCAAGATAAACTTGTGCTATTGAATAGTTATTTTCTGCTGCTTTTGAAAATAATTCAAATGCTTTTTCGTCATTTTCTTCTATTCCAATGCCATAATAATAAAATAATCCATAAAGCCAAATATAATCTGATTTATCTTGATTTATTGAAAGCCAATTAATGAGATCATTTGTAATTTGGCTAAACTGCAGTGTTATTTGATGAATTTGTTGTTCAATTTGATCAAAAGTATAACCCTTATCATGTTTTTTAATAATAACTGTAATTAATCTTTCAATCAATAAATTATTGATATTATTAACTGTTGATTCAAATGAATCCTTTGATAAACTCGTTTGAATTGATATATTTGATTGATTATTTCTAGCAAATATTCCTGTTGATTGGCTATATACTTGATTTGGCAAACTATTTCCATAACTCATGAAATTTAATATATTATCCAAATTTGAATTGTTATTAATGTCTAAACTATTATTTATATCGAAATCATCATGAATATCTGAATCGACACTATCATTATTTATATCTTCATTTATATATAAGTCATAATTTATATCTGAATCACCATTTATGTCTAAAGTTTCTTGGTCATCTTTATAGTTATTAGTTTTAAGATCTTGATCAGGAAAAACTATTGATTTTAGAACTAAAACAACCTTTTGCATATCAGGACGCTTATCTGGCTCATTTTCCCAGCATTCTAATTATTAAAATAAATTAGTATTATTCATACATTCCCATTTAAAACAAAATATTGTGTAAAATCATTACCTGTATATAAATTACCATATTCAAGGGGAGTATTATTAATAATTTCTTCTCGTTTACCATTTACTATAGATAAGGATAAATTTCCGTCATACTTATGATTACAAAATGGTTGTTTTCCGCTTGAAACTTGCCACATTAATACTCCATAACTATACACATCGGATTTTTTGTTTAATTCGTAACTATGGTCATTTAATTTTTTTGGGTCAATAAAAGGTATTACACCGAATATTTTTGATGTATTACTTGACGCATTAGCAATTTTTTCTGACAATCCGAAGTCTGCCAACTTTATCTTTTTTTGATGTACAAGCACATTATCTGCATGCTATAAGTATATGAAGAAAATTTATTCAGCACATACTATTATTGAAAAACTAATATATATTTAAAAATTTAACTATACCAGATCGCGGTGGATAATATCATTTTCATGTAAAAATGCAACTGCACTAGATAATTGAAATGATAACAAATATTTGTCATTCCAATCAAGTTCATGAAATTGTTTGTTTAAATAAGCTCTTAATGTGCCGCTGTCAGCATATTCTAAAACTAACGAATATTTTTTTTCTAAATACAACGTGTGAAGAAAATAAGTAATTAATCATACAGATTACATATTAAATTAAATAATACATCCTAATACTTGCCAGTTTCTATCTTTGTAATGCCACAGAGTCGTAAGATATTCTCATGAAAATCTACTTTTTTTTGCAATTTTATCTATAAAAAATTTAATAAATTTAAGCTTTAAAAATTACAAAGATTCAAGATTACAATATTATATAATATACCTCATTGACAACAACTTTAAGCGTTTCATAATCATTACTGAAAGATTTTAAAGCGAACAAACTATTTTTCCAATTAGCACGAGAAACACTGCCACACGCACCACTTCCTAACAGTTTTAAACTTTTAAATTCTGAATAATTGTAATAATTGATGTGTTCATCATCAATTGATTTTTCTAACCAATCAATATAAATATTTGACTCTTTGAGTTCAGTTTCTTTCGTTTCTTTTGACATTCTTTACAATAACTTTATTTTGTTGATTTTAACGGAGCTCGCTAGAGATATTCCGTAATTGCTGAGTTTAAATGGATGGTATTTATAGAAATGATCCACTGTCGTAAACTCATACATTATGCGTAACTTTTTTGCATGAAACAGGGAGGACGTGCTTATATTGCCATGTCGATCATTCGCCGATCATTTATATGTAAGCTATAGGTTATCTAGAATATATTTTAAAAAAATTATATTGAAAAAAGGTGTAACGACTGTAACGCCAAAGTTAGCTTCAAGCTGAAACTTTCAATCATTTGATAATTGCCGATCATTCGCCGATCAACTGCTATTTTGATCAATTATTCAATCTTATCACATACGAGAAAGTGTCTATTTTCCATTAATAAAAGCATTAATAGAATTTTGAACAACGTAATGCTTAATGAACAAATTTAAATAAAACAAAAAAATCTTTAGACAGTTTATGTATAAAATTTTGCCAGATTTAATATTAGTTCATGAACATTCATTCAATGATAGTAACTTTTTGATTATCTAAAATTCCATATGATTATTTTGGGCATTGATCCTTTGAATACCTAAATAATGTATTTTAAAAATCTCTAGTTTCGCCCGAAGTTCTGTAGCTTCGCCTGGTCAACAAATGATCGGCAAGCCCGTGATAAAATAGATATGTCCGCCCTGTTTATTTGCATGACTGTTACACATGATAAATCATGAAAGTAAAAAAAAAAAAAGAAATATCAAAATTGACATTGAAATATTGAAAGTAAGTAAACGTAAGCAAGTAGAGATGGCACGTGATTTAAAAGTATGGTGTTTGAGTTAAAAAGCGTTTTTTTTTGCTTTTAAAACATTGATCGGCATGATCAATTACGCTAATAAGTATACTAGGAAACGGAAACCGTTGTGAGCCCGGATAAAAAGTTTTTTCATTCTAATGTACCAAAAATGGTGACGTGCACGAAATCTCCACGTGACCTACGTCATCACATAAAATTTATATAGTCCCTTCGCTTCGTTTCAGACTAATGAATATTTAATAATAAATGTATTCTAAGCAACCTTTTAAGTTTAAAATTATGTCTCACGGAAAACTACCATTAGAAAAGTTAATGAACGTGGATGAACTTGCCTGTTGAGTCCATTCAATTCCAACATCTTCAGTTACTGCTGAACGCAACTGGTCTAGTTTTGGGATTTATCTATAATAAATCATATAATGGTAGGATGTAAACCTTGTAGCTCTTAAAATTTTAAGATTTAAGAATTCTAAAAGAAATTAGTGAAGATATTTGGGTTGAAAATGATGAAAATTAAACAAATTATATTGAAATATGTATTATAAAAGTGCTTGTGAAATATGTATGCATAATAAAGTGCACGTTGTTTTAAAACGTTTTTTTAACACAGATTGGCGTTACAAATTAACTATTTTTGAAATATGAGCTACTTTTCGCATATTTAAAAGAACCACATTTTATTTGTTATAACTTGATTGGTTTAACTAATTTATTTCAGTATCATTTGAGCAACATCATTTAATTATTGTGCATCAATCAAATTAATAAATATAGTACGTAGCATTAGATCCAATAATTCTGGCCGATTTTTAATTCGGCCAGAATTAACAATTTAAAACTTAATTCTGGCCGGCATTAAAATTAGTCCAAAATTTATTTCGGTAATTTTATCACGAAAATTTTCGGTTTTAAATTAAAATATTTTTCTAATTGTGAGTTATAACTTAAATTATGTGTTGAAAATCGAAAAAAAAAGAAAGAACAAAGTGAGCAACCTTTATGTATACATCCAATAAAAAATTATTTTGTATTGAATTTAAATTTCTTTTTTTTACAAAATTGTTAAAATTGTTGGCAAAAGATTTGTTCGATCGTAATTACTAGATACTTCATTGCGGTGAACGTAAAATTGTGCTTGACTAGTTCATCTGTAAGTTTATGTTTATTATATAACTTATGTATTTGAAAGAGTATTTAAACCCTAAATTATTAACAATAGTACGCTAAATTTTCTAAATAATCTTTGTCGTGTAATTAAACATTTTATTATCATATTTTGAAAACTACTCTTATAATATAATGTAAAACATATGACTTATTTCGTTGTATTTTTTTTTAAGAAAATTACTACAATAAGTACAAATTATTGGTAATCCAAAGTATATAAAAGGTGGTAAAGCTATAATTATAAATATTTGAAAAATCATAATAAATACTAAAAAAAATAAAAATTTATATAATACTAAATAAAAAAACAATCATAAGTATTAACATTACAAAATAAATAATTTGTCTAGTTATCTAGAGTAAATATGTACTAGAAACGCATAAATAAATATATATAAATTCTCTTTTCTTTCTCCTTTCCCGCTTTTCCCACACTTTTTGTTGAAGAAATCTTAAGCGTTTCTCTCCTTAGGTGCAAATTTCCAATAAGTTTGTCTTTTTTTTTTAATGTTTCATTTTAATGAATGATCTCTAATAGTTGTTTTTCTTACTTTTTTTTATGTGGGAATATGGTGGGAAAATTTTTTTTCTTAATTATCTATTTTAACAAAACGTTTTCTAACGTTTCAGTTTTTTTTCTTAGTTTTCTTAGATGGTTCTTTCAGTCTCCTTGGACGTGAAATTTCGGTAAGCTATTTAAATTTTTTTCTTTAATTGCTTTTGTTTTAACGAACATTTTCTAACAGTTCGTTTACTTTCTTCATCTAGGCGTTTCTCTAAGGTCTCTTTGAGAAATGGAATTTTGGTATGGTAATTAGTTTTTTTTCTTTGATTATTTTATTTTAACGAACTTTATTTATTAACATTTTTCTCATTTTTCTCTTCTAGGGTTTGCCGATTCTCCCTGGAAATGGAAGTGGGTGTCATTTCTTCTGGTCTTTCTTATATTTTTTGTCTTTGTTATTAACTTTCTCCTTTCTTTTTTATAGATGTAGGCTTCAATTTCTTTTTTTTTGGGGGTTTCAGTGGCTCTTTCGTGTTTCTTTTTTAGGTTTTGTCAATTTCTGGGTAGGTGTTCTATTTTATTCTTATTTTATCTTTCTATCTTAATTACTAACATCTGTTCTTCTTCTTTGTAGATTTTGGTGCTTCTTTTATTTTAAGGTTTTGGCAGAAGGAAGGTTTTTGTTTTTTATTGTATATTTATTTTTTATGACGTCTTTGATAATAATCTTTCTTTTTCTAGATTTTAACTTTTTTTTTTAAAAAAAAAAAACCTGTAACGCATCTTTTATTAGGACAACATAATTTGCGCCATAAGTATAGATACCTAGAAACGCTCGTGCAAACATGAAACGCCTCTATAGCAGAGAGTATATCGAGTATATCTATCCTAATAAAAACAAAAATAATAAAATAATAAATATAAAAGAAAAGCAAACCCGTTCCTAATCCTTGATGAGAAAAAAAAAAAAAACTAAACTAAGATGAGACCTAACTAAAATTTGCTCTATATTACGTAGGGAAAAATAAGTGAAAATTTGTAATAAAGACTGAAGCCTAACGCTATAAAAATAGATGAGTCCCAACGGCTCCATACCCAGTAAACAATTATTCAATCTTTTCTCCCATAACCCTACAAAAAATAAAGTTAGTAAACTAAACTATTAAATTACATATATTCTAAAATTTATTATTGGTAATATTTTTTACGTGAAATCACGTGACTTCAATTAACAATAATTCTCTTGTTGGTCGTGCCCTTCTTAATCTTCACGTTGCTTCTTCTTCCTATCCTTCTCACCATCTTCTTTCTTCCTTGTAATCTCAACAGCTAATGGTGAAGCTGGGTTTGGCCATTTCTCTCCAGTCTCTTTTTCATCTGTCCATCAGTACGGTGCTCCTCCTTTAGTTTATTTGTGAAATCATCATTGAGCTTCATATATTCCTGCAAAATCTTGTTTTACTCTGCGTGACTGATGATTCTATTACCCAAAAGAAGGAAATTATTTATTTGCATCGCCCAATCTTTAATTTATGTGATACATCTCCGACGGAGAAACCGTTCTCTTTTTTCACGTCCATTACTGCTTGAAGGTGTATATATATGTTCCCATTCCATCATATTAGATGTCACCTCAAATATTTCTTCCAAAATGGTCAAACGTTCCCTTAATTCTTTTTCGGACTTATTTGCTTCTTTTTTTGAATTATAAATGATTCTATCCGTTTGATAATCTCTTATAATATCTACAATTTCATCCGTTGCTACATTATCACGTTTTAGGGGTTTATTAGCTGTTTTTTCCATCAAATTAATTCCAAAATTTTCATCATCACTTTCTGATTCCTCTTCTTTCTTCTCTCTGATCTGCCAACCTTTAATCATATCTACAACTTCCTCTTCCTCCAAAATGGTCTTCTTGTTCTTGTTCTTGTTTCTCTTGATAAGAGGTAAAGAATTTTTGTTGTTTCTTGACGCCATATTTGCTAACTCCATATAAATTCAATTAGGAGGTGTTTGCAGTAAAGAAACATTTACCTCTGGGATATAATTTTGTGGTAGTGGTGTTGATTTGCGTGAGGGTATTACCTTCTCGCTTTTTCCACTCTTGAAGACCATCTTGAAGTTACGCACCATCCATACCAATGCTAAATTATTCTTCTTCAATGAAAGTTCAACCGCTTTCTCCATCATATTGTGATTACTAAAATATCCTATCACTTTACAATTTTGTGTGATCTTGATAATTTTAATAAAAGCAGCAGTATATTCCTGTTGCAATTTCTTCAAAAAATCATATCCGTTGTCTTCTCCTTTTTTAAATTCCTCCATTTCATCTTTAGTTAGGTCTCTGATCAATTGCCATTTATCCTGGTCCTGTCTCATCTTTAAACCACTCCCTGCGTTGTACCATCTTATAAAATGTTTGCTAATACAAATTCCGAAAATGCCTTTATTGAATGTTAACTCAAATTTTCGTTCAACAATATTTGTGCCCTTACTGATTTGTATTTGTATTGTTGTCTCACTTGTATCCTGAAAACTTTCCCTATTTTCGATAGGTTCATCCTGATATCCACCTCGGTCCAATATTTTGGCACATTATAAAAAAAATAAGTCACGTGCTTTTTCTTTATCTTTATCTCCAAGATCATCTGCTAGAATCGGAATATCCATTATCGGCTCCAATTTTTTCTTTTTTGGAGATCGTTTGCTTTTTTTAATTTTTTAGGCGTGCTCTCCTTCTTGTTCTCAGTTTTGTCCATGTTCTTATTCGTTGCCTCCTTTTCTTTTCTTATCTGGGCGATGGTGTGATTTAGCTTGTTTACAATTCATTCCTGGCTTTTTAGTACATTTAAATTGATTAAAATCAGAAATACATAAAGATATCTTACTGACCAACCTTTAAAAAATGCAAATGTATCAATTTACTTATATTTAAAACAGTAAACTTAATTACTTCAATCTATATTTCCAAAATATTACTGATAGTATGATTGCTCCGAAATTGAGTAATAATAAAAAAATTAAATTCACCTTTGGTGAATTAATTTTAAGTTAACCTCTGATAAAAGTAAAATTAATTTATCCCTCTTCTATCTCCCAAAATGAATAAATTATTAAAGAAACTCAAATTAAAATCTCTGAAAACCAAAAATTACTTATTGCAAATTTTGAATATTTGCAAATTATCAATTTTTACATAGAATTTGTTTTTTTCTCTGATAGATGTTACACGAAAATCAATTTAACTGAGCCAATCAAATTCAAAGGGATACATTAGTGATCGTCATGTGATTACCTTTTGTTTGTAAAAAAGATCTTTTTTCTCTTTTTTTTTAAAAGCTAAGTTAATAAAAACTAGCACATACTATGTTAAACACTTTTACAGCAAAATTCGAAATATAGTGGACACTTGAAAATTTTTATTGTCAGGATTGTCAGGTACTCGAGTTACTTGGCTAGTCGGGTTATTAAAAAAGATACATAACACGTGATATATATATATGTGATGGCTATATGATGTACAGTCGCGTCGGAAAGTAACGCCCGATTCACAATTACATAGTAAATTACATATATAAATTTCTTTCCAAATGTAGAATGATGCATTGTCACAATAGGTTAGGTTTTTTTACCAGGTTGTTTACTATTTTATTGTCAAATTTTCCTTGATCATTATCCTCAATTTAAATTTTATAAATTAAAACGGTTCTTGCATTTTGACTTTCCCAATGTTCAAATATCATTTATTTAAAAGAATATGATATTGACTTTAAAATTATATAAAATTTAGAAATAATTGTTAAACGAAATATAAATATTTATGCATCTTGAAATTATTTATTTTTATATGTAAAATCTTTTTTTCGGATCTAAAACATATAAAAAAAACTTTTTTACATTATAATTAAAATAGCTCTTGCATTTTAACTTTCCCAAAGTTTACAAAGTTTAAATATCACTTTTCTAAAAAAATATGATATTAGCATTAAAGTAATATAAAATTTAGAAATAATTACTAAAAGAAATATAAATAATATGTATATAGCTTAAAATCTTCTATTTTTACTATGCGGACGTTACGACTGTACTTATGTTCACAGGTATACTTTAATTGAATTTTTTTTTTTTGAGTAAAAGGAATATCTTTATTATTCATATGATAGAGAACATACAAACAGACAAAAAATAAACCATTGCGTTCAGCACATACCATGTACCTCCCGCTTTACCTCACCTTCGTCCCAAATGATGAAATTGTAGCGCCATTACCTGCTACATAACGAACCCATAAACAATAAATAAAGAATAATAAAGAATAACAGACCATAGAACTAAAACCTTCCCTTCTATCCATCCCTATAAAAAAATTGGATACGTTTTTTATAAAGTTTTTATATGATTTTTTTTCCTTAGAAATAACGTATCATAATAGGATACGGAAAAATGCACAATTCTGTATCACTAAAAATATGGATTTTATCACGAAATTTATACGATTTGGTCACTGAATTTACTATTTGTATTACAGTTTACTATAATTATATTTACATAAATCTAATTTTACTTTATTAAATTAAATAAAAAATAAAAAATAAACAAAATACAAATACATTATGAAAATTCCCTCTTTATTAAGGCCACCTATTGCAACCAAAATTATCTATAAG